TGCATATTTTTTTTAATAAGGGGGACACTGGGGGGGCGGCAGCTGGATGTTTCCATAATAGCGCCGTGTATCCGATTTGGCTCAAGAAGCTTGGGTGCACTTTGCCCGCGTTTCTTGGCCATTTGCTGTTTCAGCATTTGACGCAGTCGCGTTGTCAGGATGTTCGATCTGATTGAGGTCTGTACGGTGGTTGAGTCTCTCAACCCCCAGGATACCCTTTCAGACTGGTGGAGCGCCGCTTATCAGCGGAAACAGTTCCCAAAAGGAGATAGGCAATACCTTAAGCCTTGCTCTCGAGAAGGATCCTTCTTTCTCCAAGTGGCACTTGAATCACCTGAAGTTGCGAAGAATGCTTGGTGCCTAGAGCAAGGGCGGTTGGTCCTTTTCATTGATCTCCCGCACCTGTTTGGGGTGTATAAGTCGTCATATGATGTGGCGCAGGGAGTGACTTGGGGCCAATTAGGTTCTCGCCCAGGGAAGCGAGCAGGGGCCAACTTTGATAGTTGGCAATCAGTCCTCGGGTTGGTGATGTCAGTTCTTCAGAGAGCTGAGGACTTAATGATTGCCCTGCCAGCTAGAAAAGGCACAGGTTGCCGGGAACTCTTGGGTCTCCGCGATTTAGGGCTCAAAATCGCCGAACAGGAATCTTTAGAGCCCCAGATTCAATTTGAATCGCATTTACCCGTACTCTTTTCCAGCCATAGCTAACCTACGTGGAAGCCCAAGCTGGCATAGGAGAGCAAGGAGAAAACGCAGCTGCGCGAGGAAGCTTATTGCTGTCCACCGCAACAAGGGGTTTCTCAAAGCCACTCTTCTGAAGAGGATCAAAGCTGCAAAGGAATTGCTGGAACTACATCACAGCAAACCACAGTATAAACTGACATTCCTTGAATCTTTGAAGCAGGAGGTTGTCAGTAAGAGAAAGGCCATGTCATGGAAGAAGTCAGGACAATATGAAGGCTGAAATGAAAGTTCATTCCTTGTAGTAACAAGTCTTCAACACTTTTTCATAGGGCCTTGCCAACTGTATTGTCAAGCAGTGACGCTTGTTTCATGCTGCGTATGACATGGAACGCACATGTCACATTCATACGGCACCCTACAGCAACCAATACGAACCAGAGCTTAACAACAGCTCTCTTTCCATTGAGTACCTACCCAACGCCACTGCTTTACAAACAATGTAATTTCATTGATCTGCGCCTGGTCTGCGCCTGGTACGCGCCCCGTGGGTGAATTTTTATCAATTTATTTATTACCAACATTCAAATACATATGCAAAAGAGTTTTGCGCTAAATATTTGAGGACCGTTTTTGATTGTAAACATTTATTAGTACAATAAACTATCTATTATACAGTAGATTTGAAAAACGTTCTAATTGTACAGACCAGGCGCATATCAATCAAAATATTTTCCAAATTGTCAGCAAACACTTACGCATGACAGGCAAGCCTGGTCTCAACCACAAGTAAGCTGTTCAGATTTAAGTTGCAATTTGCAATGTACTTTGATTGGTCTGCGCCTGGTCTGCGCCCGATTGGCAAATTTTGCAAAATTCAATAGTAACCATCGTGGAAGAAGATATGAAAAGGTCTTTATTTGAACATTTCAGCCACGATTTTCTTTATTATAATGTCCTTTTAAATATTTCTACAATAAACGTAATAGGTTTACAATCAATATGGCCAAAATCGTGCTGATGGCGCAGACCAGGCGCAGACCAATTAAAACAAATTGCAAATTATTGCTACTCAAATCTAAACAGCTTAGGTGTTGTTGAGACCAGACTTGTTTGTCATGCATAAGTTGGAGAAGGTGGACGACATGCTGAATTTAATATTTTTAGTTTCCTGACTTCCCGTCGGCAAGCCTTCTTGGAGACTTTGACTGAAAAAAAAACATCTTCCGCAGCGTTCGGGTGCCCTGGCGTCCTTGAAGGAAACGGGAGTTCCGGAGGCTGTGGAACTCCTTGGCCTGTTTTAGTCCACGTTTTTAGTCACAGTTTTAATCATTAAGTTTGTTTCCATACCTTGAACTACCAAACAAAATTGGTCCACTGTCTGTTTTAGTCATTTAGTGTTGTTTCCTTCCTTTGCTTCATCAAACAAAATTTGCCCACAGTTTTAGTCATTAGGTTTTGCTTCCTTACTTTCCTTCACCAACACTTTTGGTCTACAGTCTACAGTTTTAATAGTCATTAGTTTTTGCTTCCTTACTTTCCTTCACCAAACATTTTGGTCCACAGTCTTAGTCATTTGGGTTTGTTTTCTTCCTGCCTTTCACCAAAAGATTCTGTCCACGGTTTTAGTCATTAGGTTTTGTTTCTTTCCTCATTACAAAAAAAGTCGACAATTTTAGTCATTATAATGTTTCTTCTTCTACTTCACAAAAAAAACTTTGTCCACAACTTTAGTCATTAGTTTTTGTTTCTTTACTTTGCTTCACGAAAACTTTTGCTCTACAGTTTTAGCCATTGGGTTTTGCTTCCTTACTTTCCTTCACCAAAACTTTTGTTCCACAGTTTTTGTCATCAGGTTTTGTTTCCTTTCTTTGCTTCGCCAAAAGATTTTGTCCACAGTTTTAGTCCTTAAGTTTTGCTTCCTTACTTTCCTTCACCAAAACTTTTGATTTGCAGGTTTAATAGTCATTGGGTTTTGTTTTCCTTTCCTTCACCAAAATTGTGGTCCACAGTTTTTTAGTCATTAGGTTTTGTTTACTTCCTTTACTTCACCAACAAATGTTGTCCGCAGTTTTAGTTATTGGGTGTTGTTTCCTTCCTTTACATCACCAAACAAATTTGTCAACAGTTTTAGTCATAAAGTGTTGTTGCCTTCCTTTACTTCACCAAAACACTTTGTTCACAGTTTTTTTTTAGTAATTTCCTTCACCAAAAGTTTTGGTCTACAGCTTTAGTCTCGAGGTTTTGTTTCCTTACTTTCCTTCACCAAACTTTTTGGTCCATAGTTTTAGTCATTAGGTTTTGTTTCCTTCCTTTCCTTCACCAAAAATATAGTCCACTCTTTTAGTCATTAGGTTTTGTTTCTTTCCTTTACTTCAAGAACAAACTTGTCAACAGTTTAGTCATTAGTTTTTGACAGTCTAGTGACCATACGCTACTTCAGTTGCTAGCGATTAGCCTGTTCAAAGCAAGTGCATTCAAACCTGTTTCACTAGGGCAGAATTAATCAATGCAAAGTTTTATAGAAACATGATGACATGGCATATTATACTTGATTTTTGCGAGTTTCAATTACTAAAAGCTACCCATCCTCTTACACAAATGATATGAATTTGCCATTGGCTTGATACTACCTGGAAATCCTACCCCTTCCCTCATCCTACCTCTTCCCTGGTAATCGTGCCGCCCAAATCAAGGCGCACACCGAACGGCCTAGGTGGCCCCCGGGTGGTAGAAGTTGGATTTGAAGCCAAAACAGGGAGGTGTACCAGGGACAGGGACAGCTTGGGTTTGACCAGTCGGGGCGGAGAAGACCATAAGTCACATCGACTTGAATTCAGCGCCGTCTGAAGTGTCTAAGGAGTTGCCTCTTCAAAGACGTCGATGGCTTCAACGATTCAATTCATTTGTGGGACACATCGTCCGTCACAGACGCTTGGGTAGCTCAACGTCGGTTCGGTGGTGGTGCTTCGGGAGACTGATCGAATAGATGGATAGAGACGTCTCGGTCATGGCCGAAGGAAAATGGGACATGACCTCAACAAAAATCAACCCATGAGCACCTTCCGAAATCGGGGCCTCCAATGGACTACCCTACACCACCGTTTGATCTCCATTTGGAACACTTTGAAGGTCCAGGCGGTCCAGGTGTCTGTTTACCAAGGGCGACTGTTGTCGTTGAGGTTCTTAGTTCGACAGTCAGCCTGACAGTCGAATCCAGTCGCCAGGGAGATTCTGTTTCAGAGACTTCTTGATGCTTCGCGGATGGAAACATATACTCTTCAGGACATGAGCTATTTGTTTAGCAATGCGGACGTGTTCAACCAAGAGATTGGCAACTGGAATACTTCAAACGTGAGGGACATGCGCTACATGCTTCTCGACATCAAGAGTTCTTTGAATCCCGGCATCTTGTGATTGTGAATGATATTTGTGTGCAAAGCGTTGTATATTTGATGCTAATGTGTCTTCCCTTACGGCTCCAAGCACATCCTTGAAAGATCTCAGAAGGTACCTGCTACCCATAAAAAACTGAAAACTATTCTTAGAATCTGGAATGCAATTGAATTTGTGTTGCTTGCAAGGATTTACACGACCGAACATGCCTGAAGAGCACATTATTGTTGCAGCTCAGTGTCTTTTGGCATTTGGCCAAAGCATTTACACTACGACCCTCCAGCAAAATCCCTCAAAAGTAGGCTACACCAACCTCCCTACGAAAGGCAACATGTTTACACCTTCCGCACGGCTTGCGAACGGTTTGCGCACGGCTTTTGAACGCCTGTTGAACGCCTTCTGAACACCGTCGAGTACACACGGGTTTGAACGGGTATGCGGTTGAACAGGGAAGTGTACGGGTTAAATGGTTCATATTTCATAAGGGCAAACACGGATTTGTTCGGGTTTGAACACCTCTGAAAGCCCCCAACTGGATAGTGCAGAAGGTGTACTCAAACAGTATTTTTGTTCTGTGCGTCGAATCCTTGCAAAGTTCAACATGTGTTGAAAATTACGGATGCGTACGGGTAATTTCGCCCGTGTGCAGGTATTTCTTGTGTACCCTAAGATGTTGCACTTCTCCACAAGTTTGTATGCATGAATTCAGCCAGGGCTTGTGTGTGTGTGTTGTGTTCGCTTTGTGCTCCAAGTTCCTTTGGCTTGAAACTGCAGGTGATCTCACTTTTCATCACTGTTGTTTATACTTCTTTGTTCCTCTTGGCTTCACCATGAAGTTCCAACAGCGTGTCGGCTCGAGGTTCAGCAATGCTCGGAGCTTCAATCAGGACATTGGTAATTGGAATACATCGCAGGTCACAGACATGCGGGGCATGTTTGAAAATGCACATTCCTTCAACCAGCCCCTACGAGATTGGTGCTTTGGATGAGAGATGAGAGGGTGGAAGTGGTTCAGAGTTGGAGCTTTAGTACAGCCGGGTCCCAAAGCAATGGACCATTCTTTGGAGCTTCAGTTAGACCAGACCATTCTGAATCGAGAGCGTCGGACCTCATAAATCACCTATGAAATACGACACAAACAGGTCGACTCCAGGTATTTTGAATCCAAACCACCTCATTCATGGAGTCACTGACTGTGCCCACTGGAATCTCGGGAGTGTGGGAAACCGCGGAGAACGTGCGTTGCATGCGAATATCTTGGAATCCAACTTTGATTCAGCTGATCGACATGCGTCAATCCGTATGGTGTTTTTGCGTTCCTTCCTTTTCCCTGCGATATCTCATCATTCTGTTCAGGCAACATGGTGGTTTTTGTTTCATTCTTTGTTGCTGTTCCTCCTCGCAATGCACGCTGCAATCATCCTCCTCGCAATGCTAGTACAGCGATCCTGTTGGCCACCACTGCACACCACTGGGAGGCCCTCATCACATCCTTCCTGAATCTGAATGCCACGTCTGAGACCCAAAGGATCCCGAAGGGCCCGAGTCGAGCTCCCGGAGTCGAGCTCCTAGAGTCGACACGTACCTCGGAACTATACGGTACAAGTATCCCTAGGGCTGCCCACCTCCTGAGGTGAAGGTGGTTGGGGTGGGTGGGTGCCAGGGGGATCTAACCACCGAACCTGAGGATATGGGACAGGAGCCCCAGGGTATGTACAAATACCAGCTTTTGGTACTCAGGGACTCCTCACCCTGCCAGGCCCGCACGCCAAACCGCCCAGTCTCGTTGCCCGCCTCAGGGACACTTCATCCGTCACGGAGATGAGCGAGATGTTCAAAGAAGCCTATGCATTCAACCAGGTCGAAGCGGGGTGTACCGAAACCGGGATCTGAACCTGGAACCCTAAGCCTGGTGTGGATAGAATATGCAACCGTGATGAACCAATGAAACAACCATAGTACTATAGCAGTTTCTAATATAGTTTCTATACCAGCACCCTCCAACAGGTGCTTCCTGGTGACAAGTCCGGTGCCCAGGTTCACCACCTGTGAGGTTCTCCAAACAACCTGGCCGGGAGGGTCCAGAATACTATGCATGTGTTTTGTTGTTTCCCCACTATCTAGTCCTTGGAAGGTTCCTAAGTGACCCTTTGGAGGCTTAAGTGACCCTTGAAGAACCAGGTGTTGGTTTCTTTCCCCATTACTATCTAGTCCAGAATAAACTACGTAGATCACCTGCAGGTCGACCGTCACCTTCTTGGGGAGGAAACACTTGTCGATCGTGAACGATCGTGAACGTCTGCAGGGATGGCCGGTCACGGCCGTATGCGGTTCCTCGGGTTTTTGTGGGGGTGGTAGGTGGTATCTTGAGATCCGAGATCAAGGAATCCGCCCCAGTGGGGACGTTAAGAAGGTGCAGATCTCGAGATTTCTTGAGTGTTTTTGTCGTTTTCGTTCCCTTTTGTCGGATCTGGAGCGGGAGAATTGAAAGATCTGAAAGACTACCAACATAGGTATGACAAGTACCAGCACTTCCCGAAATCGAGGTCTCCAATAGACTACACTACACTATACACTTTGTGGATCTCCATTGAGCATCTCTTTTAAACATGGAGGACGGATAGCCAGTCATGGTGCGATGAATAAATCAAAAGAAGTTCCCGTGTCTGTGGCTGCTTGGCTCGCATAGTCTTTGTGCAGATATTCGAGGCACACAAACTATGATATCCAGTCATTACCCTAGGGCTCCAACCACCTCCTGAGAAGGTGGTTGGGGTGGGTTTGGTGGTCTAGCCACCTTCTGAGGATGTGCCCAGAACATCACATCCACAGCCCGATGGGACTAAACACCACCCACCACCCTGGCCGAACACAGACTCCTCGGCCTGGCCTCCATCGGTCGGTCTTCCACGAGGCGATTGGAGATTGGAAGATCCTAAAGGTCCGGTCAACTCGACGCATGTTTGATCATGCTTGGCACTTCAATCAGCCCATTGGGCTCTGGAACACCTCGGCCGTGGAGGACATGAGTTGCTAGGCGCCCGGAGGTGGAGACCTGGAGTCGACATCGATCGTACCTCCGAAGATGGAGAGACTCAGTCGTTCCTGTTAGTGAATGTTTATGAATGTTTTATATGTTGCGTTTACATTGGGTCATGCTAAGCTAGCGGCTAAGGTAACAGTTAGCCGAGACATGGTCATGTCCCATTTTCTATAGGTTACAAGCAAGTGGTCGGGTCCAGTGGAAGAAGCTTTTGGCCTAGAAAAACCGGTCGCCGTCGACGGTCGACTTGCTTCACGAGCACGGTGGGATTAGCTCGTTTTCTTTTTGTTCGGAGCCACGACCTGCAGCTCAGGCTACATGTTCTCGCATGCACACCACTTCAGTCAGCCGATCAACTCGTGGGAGTCTTGAGGCAAAAAACATTGGAACGAACGAACCCAAAAAAACTGCCACCCAGAGGCTCATGGACCCTCAAATTGCAACATCCTTTTTGGTCCAATGAGCCTTTGGGTATGATTCTTCATGATTCTTCCACAGATGGGGTGTTTGCTTCTCAGATCCAAAGCAAAGAAGAATTTAGGCCCAAACCGGAAGAACGGATGAGAAGAAGTCCCCGGGCAACGTGGGAGGGCCATGGACCTTTATGTAAAGGAATTGGCTTAACTCGCCCTACACGATGGGTCTTCGACACCCAAGGACCAAGGACGCTTGGAGGGTCGGACCTTCGAAGACGGTTCTTGGATCATTTTAGATTCCTAATTAGATCCCTATATAGGGCTAGGGAGCAATTGACATGACATTGTGAGGTAAAGTGTGTCCCTTCTCAGGTTCGGTACGACTGGACAATTACTTTGCCTAGATGAAAGAGTCTCCAACAGAACACCCTCGATAGGAGGGCGGCAGTGGATCCAGAGGGGCGTTGTGATGGACGTTCGTGTATCAATCCATGACTATTTTGTTACCCTCACCCGCACCGTTCGTGGAAAATTGTCCCTTGGGAAGAGGGTTTCCAACTTGATTCAGATGACTTTTGTCGTGAACCTCGGAGTTGAACCTTTTTCCACTGACAAACTTGCCTGCCATGAAATCATAGTGGTTTTGCTGAATCACTTTGCAGGTCTTGAATTGTTTGGAGCTTCCCAACACATGAGGCTTGTTGGGTTCCGATCACGCCTGGAGGATCAGTTGGTACCTCCGATTGGGTCCCGTACAACGTTGGGTCGGATTGGCCAATCTAAGGATTGCTCGGCAGTGAAGAACATGAGCTACATGTTCTGTTCCGCACCAGTCCCTGAACGTCAGCAGGATTTCTATCATTTTGTCAAAATGGTTTGATTCATTCATAACAGTCCACCAGCACCACCTATTTTGGCATACCCGTATGAACAGGTTGGCTGTAGACAAAGAAACTGGAATGATTCCTGACCTTCTACTGGACAGTCAGTTCAGCCTTTTTTGCTTGGTCTACACCATGTTTCTTGAATCTGGAAGGAGTCGACCGATCCCAATGAAGTGTTTGGGTTCTAGTACACCTATGTGTGAATTAGGATCGGCAAGCCGTCACTCCTAGCCTTCCTACATTCTCGGTTCGTACCTCAGATAATTGGTACCACAACCCACAAGGTGGTTAATGGACACCCCTATAACATCCTGAAAGGTCCTTGGTACAAGGACCTGCTTTATACAGGGTCGTTGGCCGTGTCCCATTTTCTCTTTGTACTTAGGGTCCAGGTACGTACGCCTGAAGATTTGGTTGCAGCATACTCAATATACCAGGCCTGTTACGGTGGGAAACCAGGGGTCAACCGACCTTTTAAGTTCTTTTCGGCACCTGTAGCCAAGCATCATGGCTGGAACAGCCTCCCAACATACCTTTGTCCCTGAAAAGCTAGGGATTTGAGACCCCACGCCTCTCCAGATGAGGGTCCGGCCCCTACTTAAGAGGATCCAGGGTCGCGTTTGATCTGTCTTCCTTTTCAGGGCCACACCTTGAGGTCTTTAATCAGCCGATCGGCGCTTGGAATACTGGAGCTGTCGTGGACATGAGTGGCTCGACAGCTTTGGAGCCACATGAATCCAGCAGGTGAAAAGCGACGGGACCCGCATGCTGCCTGCATGAAAGTGTCAAACACACTATAGGCCTTGATAGGATGGGTAGTATGTGGATCCGCATGAGCCAGAGAAAGCTGCTGGCTGTCCTTTATGTATAGGGGACCAAGTGTCCAAAGCCTCGGTCTTGGCCCACCTAAAAGGCAAGGACAGGCCCGGGCCCCAAAAACCACCCCAAACCACCTCATTAGCCACCCACTCTTCCAGAAATCGTTGGAGAACAGCGACTCGATTATCAGCGGCGATCCATGGGCGTTCAGGTCGGTGTCGCCCCAGTGGGGATTGGAACTCACTGGTCGGCCTGCCCAGGTGGCTTGTTCAAACATGCACTGTGCTTCAATCAACCAATTGGATCGCAGCTTAGCAGAAACCGGGGCAAGTTCGCAGAACTGGTGCGGTTGAGGTGGGCTGCTTTTGATGTGTGTGTTGTTGTTGGTCCAAGCGACATGGAGATCGACCGAAGTTCGTTCCTTTCTCCCCTGTTTTTATTTGATGATCAAAATCGGGTCATGTCCCAATCAATAGCTCTATGGCTCTATGGATCCACTGCCACCGTACCTCAGGTTCGGTACGACTGGACCCTCCAAACCTACAAAGAATGTCCTTGCTCACATTCTTCAAGGTTATGTGGATCCATAGGGTACGAACTGGCGGGTACGAACGGAGTTTGGATGCATCCAGTGTGTGAAGCTGTTTCTGAAAAACAAAAAAAGCCGGACGCCGGTGAGGATCTGCTTGATCTTGCAAAAGAGTATGAGTTGCGGATAGTTGCGGTTGTTTCTGTGTGTAATCTTTGTTTCACCAGTGCTTGAGACCTAAAGGTGCCTACTCCCCAAAAGTTTTACTCTTGGACTTCAGACCACACCAGAATTGCCTGGTGATAGGACAGTGGCCGTGACTTTCACTTCGCATGTGGTACCTACATCGGTACCGGTGGCGGGGTTCCGGTCGCTGGCCCAACCGAACTTCTCCGAGTCTCGGTTCGCACCGAACATGGGTACAGTCGTATCACGTACAGTACCAGCAGTCACGTGGAAGTCGGGGTGCCGAACTGGGGTTTTTCGTGGTGCCTCTATCACATCCACAGCCCCTGGATGGGACGAGGCACACCACCCTGGCCGAACAATGTGACTCTTGGTGCATCTGTTTATTTTAGTATCATATGTCCCATTTTCCAGGGTACTTGAAGCACTTGAAGTCGGTTCCAGGCGGATCGAACTGACACGAATCGTGCCGGGCCGGCTTCTCCGGACAGCCAGCGCCAGCGCCAGACTAATCCAAAAGACTTAAAGCAAGCGGCTGAACTCCTCTCGTCCACAGAGAATTGATCCCCTGATCCACCTGAACAGCCAGGGGCGGGGCCTATCCGCATGCTGGATGCAATTACTCCGAGGATCTCCGAGGTAACTCAGACTGGAGACTGACTGAAAGGTCCCAACTCTACAGGAGGGGGGACCAGGATCATGGCAGTCAGCGGCTATCAAGGAACATGAGGTGACAGGGACTCAACAAAAGTCCCAAGTTCCCTCAAATGCTTGGGAGACCATGGGAGACCTGGTGATCATGACACGATGACGAAGTCCACACTCAGGTGGGATACCTCCTCGGTGATTAATATGCGGTACATGTTCAGCGATGCCGATGCCTTTGATCAGCCTATTGGGTCCTGGAACACTTCGAACGCACAAACCATGAGCTACATGCGCCACGGCAGGGTTTATGTGTGTGTGTTGTTATGTTTCCTGGCCTGGTGTTGCTTATAAGGTGGCTAAATCCCTTTCTGGTGAATATGTGCTTTTGTTTCGCAGGTTCTTAAAGCCAATTCCAAGCTGGCAATGCCTGCTGCAAAGCATCGGTCTATGAAAGCAAAAAGGGATAAGAAAGGAGAACCCAAGAGGAAACCCCTAACCCAAGAGGAAGAGCATACGATTATGCCAGTTCGTGCCGCAGACGATGTGCCGCATACCCAGAGCTCTCCACAGGTGAATACAACAATGCCGGGATCCAAGCGAAGAGAACACGCGTACAAGTAACTGAGCAAAGTTTTAAAAGGTCATGGACCATGGACTCACATTTTGCAAAACATTTCAGTGTTCAAATCGTTTTTGTGAGTAGACCATGGTGGGCACAATAGAACCCACACACAGTTTTCATTTTCTTTGAAAAACACAACAAACAACAATATCAATTCCCAAAAACGGTACCAGTTGTACTGTTGTTTGTTGTTGTTGTTGTTGTTTCTGGGGTGGGTGGGTCATGTCCGATTTTCTAGGCTACTTGAAGTCGCGTTCAGGTCAGGTCCTTGTGCTCCTTTTCCGAAATACTTTCACCGGTCGACTCCGGTCACCACAAAGGATTCGTCCAAATATGCATTTTTCGTCCAAGCTTCGGACAGCGGCGGCACGACACTGAGGTTCTACAACGCGGTGTCTTTTGCCTATCCCATTGGCAACTGGGACACCTCGAGTGTCACTGTGACTTGGATCGATTGAAGATGAGATGAGACGTCTTACTGGTACGACTTGTTGATGTCTTAAGGGAATGACATGGAATGATCCGTCACTATACCTGACTGTAGAAAGTTCATTAATTACCCTCCATATTTGCATTGAACAGACCTCTTCAGACCTGGGGGATGGACACTGAATCTACCGGGGGTCTCAGAAAGTACCTCAGAAACAGCTACAGACTCCAGTATTTGTAGAGGGGTCATGTCCCATCTATAGGGTTGAAGATGGGTCCAGGTCCTGATCAGTCGCACGCCGTGCGTTGAAAAGCAGACTGGTTGGCACCAGTTCCAGATGGCGCCTTTTGGACTAACAGTAGGTCTAAGTATAGGTGACTGGAGTTTTTGAAACACAAAACAACAAAAACACAAAACAACCAAGAGTCACAAAAGGGTGCTTTTTTGTCCCATCCAGTGAGTGGATCATGGGCACCCCTCGATGCCCTTTGCTCCCTTCGTCGCGTCCGGTCGCTCCAAACAATGGAACTCCTGGTGACCCTTTGCCCGACAAGTATGGAATGGCCTATACATTGACCCCTGAAGCCACCCCATTGTATGCATATATACCTGGAGTCGACATGTTCATACCTCGGAAAATGGGTACCGTCGTACCTGGAAATGACCCATTTTCCAAGGTACTTTGCAGGGTCCAGGTATGTTTGGGTTTCGATGTCCGTTTGGATTCACAGTAAGAATCCCAGAAAATTCGTCTGGCAGTCCAATCTCGTCGAATTAATTGAGTGCATCTCAAACTTGTTTTTGTTGTTTAACTGTTGGAAGTTTCCAATGTTTGCAAGCACTCATGTATGGAATAGTTATGAATAGTTACATACCCTTGACCCCGCTACTGTAAGTCAGCATTCCATACATGGATGGTTTCGGAAGTTTTACAACCGCTCGGGCGCACAGGATATGAGCTACATGTTCAGAGATGCTGACTCCTTCAATCAACCGATAGGCCGTGACTCACATCGTTTCACTCTGGTTTCGTGCTGACCGGGCAGGGGGGTGGACTTGGGATAGGCATGGCCAGCACGGCCTAGGCCAAGAAATGATAGGAGTCGGGACCAATTCCAAGGCCGTCCCGCAAGCTATGATAGCAACTATTCCAGGCAAGCCTATGACCCTATAGAACAGATGTAAATAAACTTATAGAAACTTTAGCACCTTCAAGCTTTGGACAATGGGAACAGTAAGTACCAGCACCACGGAGAGGGTGGCTTATAAATATGATATATATATATATATTATATATATATATATGATATTTTCCATCCAATCACCATCCTTTGGGTGGCGCTGGTATTCCTTCGTGGCAAGTGTAATAATGTTCTTCCATCTATTTCCAGTATGACTGCCTTGAAATTTGGAGACTCCATGGATAAATCATGTCCAAAACCAAACGACGGAGCTGTTTTCTTTCGTGCTCGTCTTTCTCCTCGTCCGCGACAGACAGGTGGGTGGGATACGTCCGCCGTGACAGACATGGCCTTCATGTTCTGTGACGCCAATGGGTTCAATCAGCCCATCGGTGACTGGGACACCTCACGTGTTCAATCCATGACCTTCATGCACCTTTGGCAACGTAAAAAAGGGGTGGCGTGGCGAGTTTGGGCAAACAAAACGACCAGCAGTTCGAAAGGGGTACCGAAATTGGAGGAAGTCGGGGTGCCCCTATCACATCCACTCACTGGATGGGACTAAACACCACCCCTATTCTTAGTCACTCCTGGTATTTTATGGGTCTGAAGTATCAGGCCGTTTCCGAGGGTCCAAGATGGTTCTGTTTTGGAGTGGATGTGTGTTTCTTGTTTGGCCCATGGGCCGGGGACTTCGTGGTAGCGAAACTGGACACTCCTGGGATCACCTGGGATCCAAAAGATCAAACCCAAGCGGCACCGAAACGCAGCGGGTCCCCCGAACGAAAGACACCCCATCCATCGGAAACCGCACGCGGTGGATTTCCGGAAGCCAACGGTACCCCTCCCCCAACTGCGCCACGACGAGGGCCGCACGCGGTTCTCCCGCGGTTCTGAGGTTTTGTGACACGGGTGACTTCAACCAACCACTGGACCAGTGGGACGTCTCCTCAGTGACGGACATGAGCTTCATGCGCTTTGGTAGAGATTGTTCTTGCTGAAGTGATTCGCAGCCTCAAAGCCTACATTGACCTCTCACATCAATGGTAAATATGTCAGTCCCATGGCATGTTTGGGAATCTTAAACATTGTTTCACTTGACTTGATTTGATTTGTGAAGCAAGCCAAGTGCTTGGGGAGCTAATTCTATTGCGAACGTCCTGTGAATCGTGACCCGCGTTGCGAATCAAGAAATACCCTCCGCGGCCTGGAGTCTCAGTGCTAAAAACCTCGGAACAATGAGTACAGTGTACAGTCGAACCTGTCAGTGTAGCTTCTTGTTACCAGTTGCGTTGGCCTCAAACCTATACATGATACATGGCCTCCAATCTACTTGCAATGGCCTCAACCTAATAGCAACCTTGCTACTAGTAGCTTCTTGTTCCTAGTAGGAATGGCCTCCAACCTACTAGCGATGGCCTCCATTTGCTAGCGTCCTTGTTCCTAGGGTCATGCCCCATTTTACTTGAAGTTTTCTTCAGCCGCGGTCTGTTGCTCTCGGACTCAGAGGTTTAGCAACGCAGTTGCCTTCGACCAGCCCATCGGCTATTGGAATACCTCGAAGGTGGTGGACATGAGTTACATGCCACTTGGACGAGATTTGGATGAGGCTTCTTCCTCTAGGGATCCTTCTACCGTTCTGATCTATACGATGCCCACAACTTCTCCCATTTGCACCCTTCTTTTCATAGCTTCTGGTGCACTAATCAGGCATGCAAGGGGCACAGACACATAGAACTTGTGTATATCATGCAAGTTTTCACCCTGACTGTATAAAACTTGATCAGCTGTCATAATATATATATATATTATACGCATAATATTTCATAATCATAGTATAGTATAGTATCCATAATCGCCACAATAAGACTAATAATTATCATCATCATCGGCTGCGTTAGGTTCTCAATGGATCAACCAGAAGGGGGGCATGTTCAACTTATTTGATCAGTAGAGGCCTAATTCATTCCTGTTGACCAATTTATGGTTTTGCTTGGGGGTGATGTTTGTTTTCCCTATGGGTGAATCCCCTTCTGGGAAATATTGTATTTGTACCTCGGTCTGGCATGTGGATGTCTTTTGTACAAATTGTCAAGTTGACAAGGGGAAGATGTGGTTGTAAGTCACAGCCCTGTAAAACAACAACAAGTTGCCAAAAAGACCACAGCGTTCTTTTTGTCGTTCCGTTCTGCAGGTGTCCTGCCTTCCCAACTCTTGATCAATCCCCAACTCTCCGGACTGACCGGTCTCTAGGGTTGTTGGGGTCAAGGTCGCCCGGTTGAATCAGTTCCCTAAGGGTCCGGGTACCTCCTTTTCGGATGGTCTTCCTGAGGTGACTACGTACTTCCACAGAAGGGTCTGTCAATCTGCTACTGGGGGCCTCTCAAGTCATCCTCAGGTACCTGGACCCGCGGTTGCACCAGTTCTTTTCGGCCTCAGGTTTTATGGGGCGGATGCCTTCCATCAATATGTGGGGACCTGGGATGTCGGACGAGTCGAGCAGCCTGACGCTTGGCGCAGTTTCTCGCAGCCCAGTCACCGTGGATGCGCGGATCAAAGGGTTTGATCGACGTCGACCTGTGACCTCGGAGCATGGTGCCCCAGGAAAGTGCATGTTTTTAATCCGGTCCACCTAATAAAAAACACGGCCCCCCCCCCCTGAAAAGTAGAGCCTACCTGTACAGGGTTCCACTCCAACAGCCGATATAGTGTGTCCATGCTTGACTGCTTCAAGGCTCAAAGAGCAAGAGGATAAGACTCTGCGCATAAAAGACACTAGCGGTCTGCACCTCTACCGTGTACGCCCTAGTCACTCTTTCAGTGGTAGCGGAGCAGTGATCCTGGAAGACCCAGGTGAGCTCCTTTCCTAGGCATAGACTTGCTAGTGGGCAAACGGCCATGGATTGGTTTGACGACTGGGAAGAGCCTGATGCGGATGTGGCTTATGAGCCAGCAGCCTACGTGAATAGGCATGTGAGAAGAGAACCAGCAGCAATAGCAATGACAACACAGGTCACTACAAAGGTGCCCCCATCTTATGATGGAAAGACTTCATGGTTTTCCTATGAGGATGCCATAGACGATTGGTGTGATATCACCGAGCTGGAAGATGAGAAAAGAGGACCAGCATTGAGAAACAGATTAGAAGGAGAAGCAGCTGTATACAAGCGTGTTTTAGACAGAGATGCATTGAAGGCAAATGATCCACCAGGAGCCGGCGTAGAATATTTCAAACGAGTACTACGACCATATTTCGTGAAAGGATCAACCAATGTATTCCTGTATAGGTTCATGCAATTCGTGCGCTTCAATCGAGGATCAGCTGACATGATGAAATGGATGACAAGATTCCAGATTTTACTCCAAAGGCTTATGAGCAGTTGGATGGACATGTTAGAACCAGTCACTCAAGCACATCCACAAGTCCTAGCTCAGATGCAGGCAGATGCAGCATTGACTGGAACAGCACCAACGGCAGAAAGGATTCAGGAAATCATGCAGACCATCAATGGCAACATGAGGACCTTTCATCAGAACGAATTTCCTCTAGGAGAAAATCTCATTGCCTTACTCATGCTGTCACTTGCAGATTTGTCTCAGGACCAGCGAAACACTTTGACTTCATTGATGACTCATCGTGGCAGGGTCCTGCAGCAGTATACTACAACAGAGTTGAGGACAGTGTTCATCGAGATGTTCTGCACAACAAAGACTTCAGTAGACAATCCTTTGATGCAGCCGACAGGTGCTGGAGGTAGAAGATCATTTCTCGTACTAGACGAAGGAGAACTCGATGGTACATTTGGCTATTGGGCCGAAGATGAAGAAGATGGAACTGAAGGATTTTTAGATGCCCTGGACGATGTCTTTTGGGTATATGATGATCAAAACTTCTCATGGTTCCAAAGGAGATTCCAAGGAAGAAGAGCCAGAAAAGGCAAGGGAAAAGGAAGAAGAAAAGGAAAAGGTAAAGGAAGATCAGGCCGCAGATTTTTCAGACCTCGTGGAAAAGGAAAAGGAAAGAGACGAGGTAAAGGCCATTTTGCTGATGAGCAACAAACAACATATCCAGAAGAGTACTTTGAAGAGAATCCTTATGAGGACACTTGGGAGTCAAACCAAGTAGCATATGATGCCATTCTTGCCGAAGATATGAATGACTATCTTCAAGGAGAATACGATGAAGCCAATGACTTTTGGCAACAGCTTGAAGAAGCATGGTTTTCCCACAAAGGAAAAGGAAAAGGCAAGAGAAAAGGAAAGAAAGGAAAAGGAAAAGATAAAGGAGATGGCAAACTAGATGCAAACTATGCAAATCCACAACAGCCACGTTCTTTACCTGCACCTTCAAGATCTTCACAAGCATCAGGAGGTCAACAAGGTTTCTTTGCACATTGTGTGACAGCAGCAGCTGAAGTCCATGACAGTGAGGTGGACTTGCTGTCAGGCATGATGACCTCATGTCAAGATGAAGCTGACTGCGCGGTCGACAATGGTGAGACGATCTTCAATGGCATGGGTGCCCCTGTGAGGTACTCTTTGTCAAAGGAGATGCTCACAAAGGCTCCTGATGGCTTTGCGCTTATGAGCGCTGAGGAAGAAGTGAAGGAGATGCAGGCCATTTCATTTTTGACTGAGAATCGCTTCCCGCCGACTATTGCAATCCTGGACATTGGATGCACTAGAGCTATGGGATCAAGGCGAGCAGTCGACCATTTTTGCAACTATGTCGACAATCACCCAGATTGTGGATTATGGTACTCCTTTGAGGCTACCAAGAGCAAGTTTTACTTTGCCAATTCCCAGAAGGCTACTTGCTCTCAGAAACTGGTGATTTACATGTATGATCGCGCATGGACGATCCACCATACAGAGTTCGACATAGTGGAAGAAGGAGAAGTCCCTTTGCTTATGAGCTTGCCACAGATGAGGAACTTAGGCTTTGAACTCAGGCTGACACCTCAACATGCTTATCTGACATCGGTGCCTCTTGGTATCAAATATTTGGAGTTGAAGGTTGCAGCCAGTACTCATCTTGTTTTGGACTTCCAAGATATTGCATGGTATCTGTCTGACGTGAATTTGCAGACTCGGCGCGAGAAGAGTTTTTACTCTCACTTCACTCACTATGAATATGGTCATATTTCTGTTGACCTCAATAGTGATGAAGATGTAGCTGAACATGCATATCCTGTGGTTGACTACTGGGAAGTAGATGTTCACAAGAGAGAACTGATACGTCACCACAAGGATTATAGAAAGATTCTGTTTCCAGCAACTAAGTCCTGTCCTGTAGACACTGACTTACTGGAAGACTTGCGACTGACAATCATCAAGAAGAAGAAAGGTGGAGAAGAGATCAAGAAGCAAGATGATTGGCGCAAGGCAAAATGGAAGGACCTACAAATTGGCTATGAATGGCGTGGTAGAACAATTTTTAAGTTTAAACCAGATGCCAAAATTCCAGATCTAAAGATCAAGAAGGCTGGCATTGAGCACCGTGGCATTGGTGATCCCGATGCAGTGGTGCGCTCCTCCTCAGAGAAGGTTCCCATTGCAAAGGAC